GGGACAAGCTCCAAGGATTCCCTTCTCATTGGTTCTAGGAGGAACCTTTGAGGGAATGGATTCCTTAGGTGAAAGGTTCACCTTGAGCTGTGACTTAGATTTHTRAWGCRATTCAGATTTCCTAGTCCCTGAAGAGGAAGAAGTTTTACAAGTTGAAGGAATAGATTTAGATCTATTTGTATTGTTAGACTTCTTAGGAAGGGATGCTATGACAGTGGATTTACCTTTATCTTTGCATCCAGAACTCAACGGAGTTCCTTCAAGATGACTCTCAGTAAAGGAAGAGGACTGAGAGGAAGAAGTGTTGGGAATAGAAGAGACAAAAGTACCAAATTTAAGCATGGASTTGTCTTTAACACATTCTTCCTGATCATAGGAGAATCYTAGACCAGTCATTTTCTTGGCGGGGATCTGAGCGTTAATGATCTCAGAGGCTTTGAGAGAAGCTTTACACCATTCTTCAATGGTAGCTTTCTCAGCCTTGAGTTCAGCGATTGCTCGCTCACGCTCAGCGACAGCTTTCTCACGTTCAACAGTGATGGCCTGGTTTACAATAACCTGATCCTTAAGATTTTCCTCAACAGAGGTTAGTTCTTTGATCTTAGAATGACAAATCTTTAATTGCTCATGAATATCAATGTTAAGCATTTCAGCTTAAGATTTGCCATTGAGGGCATTGTAAAGGTCAACCGTCAGTGTATCCAGTGCAGAAAGACTAGAAGAAGGTTCATTCAGGGTACATACTTGAGTAACAGAAGATGGCTCAGAAGAGGTAGATGCTTTAGAAGAACCTTCGTCAGCATCAATAGTCATCAATCAGACATAAGCTTTATCTTCCTTGTCAGAAGATGATTCATCAGATGATTCAGCCCAGTCATGCTCTTCAGCAATAAAGCCTTTACCCTTTTACTGGTTGTTCTTCATCTTCTTATATTTCTCCTTCAGTTTTAAGTATTTATCATCTGTGGTCCTGAAGGAGGAAGGAGCTTTAGAAGATGGCATCGCAATATTCTTGGATCTGCATTCACCTACAAAATGTTCGGGCCGGTGACAGTTGTAGCAGACAGCTGAAGCCTTGTCTATTCTTTC